TGATACAGTGAAACAGAATTTTCTCAACCATTATATATAGGTGTGTGTGTGTGTGGGGGGGATAGGTGCCAAGAAGGGCTTGTTAGAGACAAGTTGCATAAGTAACTGGGCTGAGATTGGATTAAGGTGGTTGGTAAAATAGCTGAGATTGGATTAAGGTGGTTGGTAAGATCTGTGAACGGCAGTAAATCAGCATGCAAGAGTTAACAGACAGACGTGAGAACTAAGTTTGAGTCCAGTGGCACTTCCGAGATAACAAAGTTCAGTTTTGGGTATAAGCGAAGATTGAGAGACTCGGCATGTGTCGAGGCACACTCCTTCAAGTGCAGAATTTACCAACTATCTTAATCCGTCTATGGTTGAGGAGATGCTGTTTCACTGCCCAAGTTCTAACCACTACCTGCCTGGAACAAGACTCTTCGCACGCCCAAGACTAGAAACTGGACAGCAGTTAAGGAGAGACAAAGAGAAGTGTTCTTTCACACAGCCCACTGCCACAAGATGGGGGTGATCGCTGCTAGTTTGAACTCAGGTGGGCTACCGTGTTGGCCTGATGGAACAGAATAGGGTTTGAGTCCAGTGGGTATAAGCTTTTGTGTGCATATCTTTTTTTAAAAAAAGGTTTTTTTTGAAAATTTAACATCAGATCCAAAGACAAATCAGTGACATTTCAACACGGCACTCGGTTAACCCACGAACTGCCCGCCAGTCGGTTCAGCGAACAGTGATGGGGACGAACTAGGGAACAGTAACACGCCAGCCGGATTCTGGGACAGTAACTTTATTGAAATGTACACTCGTGAAAAGACATACACGCCCACGCATACAGATATTATAAGAGGAGAATTGGGGGGGGGGGTGAGGAAGAGAAGAAAAGAGCGTTAACTCCTAAGTATCATGTACTGGAGGGGAAAAAACTGGACAGATGAAATCAGAATTAGACTGTGGGGGGGAAACCAGGTACAAAGGATACAAGGAAAGCAAGGCGTTTTCACAAAATAAGAATGAAGAGAGGGGATCTAGTGTAACATGCCTTTCCGGACAGCATGAAAGCCGAACAGGATCTGAGCTCTACGGAACCGATCTGCCTTTGACCGGGTAAGCAGAGAAAGGCATGTTTTTGGCTTCTTCCGTTTCAAAACGCACACGGCAACCTTCCCCCCCCCCCTTTCCGTCGACAAACAATTCAGAAAAACCTGTGGCGTGGAGCAGCACAGATTCTATTCTCTCTCAAGCACTCTTTGTTTCTTATAAAATATCCCTAAAAATATCTCCATTTACAAACAGCTTTTTTTAAAAAAAATACACCATGGATGGAGTTTCTGAACACTTTTGTGCACATGTAACTGAGGTGCTCTGGTTTCTCGACTAATTCAGGGCCAGTCCTACGGACTGAGTATCTGCATGGAAACCCTCACCCTTTGCCTCTGTCTCTTGAAATCCCTCTCTCGGTTTCAGGAAGGCCCCATAACAAGCTGTGGTGGTGCTCGATGATGATTTAGACGCATAACGCGTACATGAGGGAGCTGTGGCTCAGTGGCACAGCCTCTGCTTTTCAAGAAGAAGGTCCCAGGTTCAGTCCCTGGCATCTCCAGTTAAAAAAGACCAGGCAGGAGGGGATGGAAAAGACCTCCGCCTGAGACCCTGGAGAGCTGTGTAGAAGGGCCATGGCCCAGTGGCGTGCAGAAGGTCCCAGGTTCAGTCCCTGGCATCTCCAGTTAAAAAAGACCAGGCAGGAGGGGATGGAAAAGACCTCCGCCTGAGACCCTGGATAGCTGTGTAGAAGGGCCGTGGCCCAGTGGTAGAGCCTCTGCTTGGCGTGCAGAAGGTCCCAGTTTCGATCCCCGGCATCTCCAGTTAAAAGGACCAGACAGGAGGTGATGGGAAAGACCTTGGCCTGAGACCTTGGAGAGCTGTAAAGAGGGGCTTTGGCCCAGTGGTAGAGCCTCTGCTTGGCATGCAGGAGGTCCCAGGTTCAATCCCTGGCATCTCCAGGTGAAAGGACCAGGCAGGAGGTGGTGGGAAAGACCTCAGCATGAGACCCTGGAGAGCTGTAAAGAGGATCTGTGGCTCAGTGGAAGAGCCTCTGCCTGGCATGCAGGAGGTCCCAGGTTCAATCCCCGGCATCTCCAGTTAAAAAAGACCAGGCAGGAGGTGACGTGAAAGACCTCAACCTGAGACCCTGGAGAGCTGCTGCCTGTCTGAGCAGATGGTACTGACTGTGATTAATTGATAATCTGATTCGGTGTAAAGCAGCTTCAAGTGGGTTCATGCACAAACACTGTAGATGAACAGCAAAAG